CAAGCCTGCTTTAGGAACAGGAAGTAATGTGTTAACATTATTTGCATTTCCTCACCTTTTGCTGTGCCCGTAAGCAACAAAAGTACCATTTTCGTTCAGAGGAATATATCATGACCTTGTCAGTTGGTGAATATTTTTCATGTCGTTATTTAAGAATAAATTATTATTATTTTGGTCTTTATTTGAAATATTGATATTCAGTAGTTTTGCCGCAACTGACTATTGGGTTTTCATGATTTTTCACTCCGAGTCTAGCTTTAGTATATTCTTAATGTTTAAACTTCCATTTTGATCCCTTTTCAAAATTTAACTGATATTTTCAATTTTTCATTCCATTTCTGTCAATAACTTCGTCTTTTCATGGTCACTAAGAGCATATGCAAGCGACCTGGCTGCCATTTTGCAGTCACCTCGGGTAACGAGGGAGTATGGTGTGTCTGACCAGCATTCCTGACGGTCGGTTGATGACCTCAATCTACCCGTGTCTGTGTAGCAGAACATTTTGTCTGCTTACGGCTCTTTACGATATAGCAAGATGTAACAAATCAGTGATATTGATGTTACTTTTCCTTGTTAAGCTTGTCTACGACTCATGTCCGTAACCTTGCACTGTTTTTAACTCCCTACCAAGAAATCTTATTACAAGCAGATCTGAACAATTATACAGAAAAATAGCTCATTCATAACTTCTTGAGCCACAGCGTTAAAAAAAATCAATACAATAAAAGCATAAGATAAGTGAGCCTCATTATTGTTGTTAACACTTTGGTTATTCTGAATTTCCTTTATTCATACAATTATTTGTCCATTCGTTATCTTACACCTGAATTGTCTTCATTAACCTACATAAATGCAGGTGTACAGTTACTGCACTAATGAAAAAAAGTCATGGTAAACATACCTTTGTTTTATCCAGAAACGTTTGTGCTGCGTTATTGTTCGTCTTTGAACAAGAATTTTATCTATTCTGCTCCTCGTCCCGTTCCCTTTTTCTCTTTTCTGAGCACATTATTGCAATACTTATATATTAGACTGGATATATGCCGAAGACTTTCTTACTTTACCCAAAGGCCTGTTAATTTATCAACCAGTTCTTGGCATATTTACCTCATCGATTCTTGTTATATACGGACCTAGCTCTACCTTGCATTTTTTCATGGTCATTAAGAAGCTCGTCGTAGCTCACCCACCGTAACTAGTGCCAATTATTCGCGTTGTACATTGTAGACCATCTAAATGAAGCCAATGTATCTTATGAAATATTTCAGTGACTGTACACCGCTTTAAAAGAAATATGTTGTCAAACCTAACACTTTGATCTTCCCTGTAAATTAGCATGCCTCCTGTAACATGTTTGTTATTTGAGAATAAATTATTATTATTATGCTGTATGATAAATGCAAATATAGCAGCTGCTTATAACAAACTCAGCAGATTAGATCGTAGCTGGACTTGTAGTATATCCAATATGAATGCTGACGATATGTTGTGCAACATCATCTTCGATCTGACATTGTCAACAATCCATGAAAAAGGCCATCCATCAAAAGATGGGCAAATAAAGACACGCACAGAGGGAAGGAAGGCAGTCCTTGGTAACGTCTGTATCGACGGAACAATCCTTCGCTTCAGAGAGGATGAGCTGAAACTCAGTACCGTTATATCATCGACGGTGTTAAACTCTCAGCAAACTTTTGTCTACCAACATGACCTCTCCAAATGCAACTATGGTCCACAAAAATTTGGACCTCTTGACACCTTGACAGTTAGCACTTGTACTTAAAGAAAAGGCTTCACTCTTGGCAACACCGCCTAGTGTGTTCTCAAACTCATCGAGTGATAGCATGGATCCAAACGATTGGAAGGTAGTGAAAATCACACCGATTTTCAAAGTAGGCTGAAGCAATGAACCTTTAGGCTACAGAACGATATCATTCCTTTCATTACCATCGAAAATGATGGAGTCTTTGGAATGTGTAAGCATGTGAGTCTTTTTAATTTCCACAAACTTCTTTTCTCCTAAATAATACGGTTTTAGAAAGGCGCACTCCTGTATAATCGACTTGCTGACTGTTGCGAACAAATGGACACCTATTCTTAGTCGCTAAGGTCATGTCGATGTGACATATAGTGATGTCTATAAAAATGTTTTGATGGGGTCAGTCAAATATGTCTCATCAATGGTTAATTTCATGTGTGAATAATCGACTTTTTAAGGTCGGAGTCAACCTCAATTATTTGGGCTACAGAATGTCCTGGTTGAGTCCTCAGAGGTAAATACTATGAGCATTTCCCTCATTAACTTAGGAGGGCTTACTGTCATCGAAAATTATCATCTGAGTTATTATATTTTGGTGACGATGTTAAAATTTGGATCAGAAATTTGCAGTCAATACTACAAGCTTACTCTTCAGGACGGTCTCATACAACTTCTAACTTGGGAGAACGACGATGAACTCTTAGCATTTCAAAGTAAACATTAGTTCACCTAATACATGCCGGAGTCTATATATAAGCTTAGGTAACTATTCTCCAGAGGTTTTTCACGTTGATATCCGGTGACCTAAAATGCCAACTGCAAAGAACGGCCTCTCCAACAAACCTAGCTCTGGCGACGTTAAGGCTGTATTCGGACCCATTTATAGTATGGAAATTGTATTTCCCGCCTCATTCCAAAAGAACAAGGATAAATTGAAACGTATCCAAACGTTAGCCCTGAAATCAGTTCGAAGACACAAATTTTAATCTCACGAAGAGTTCTCGAATCATTGTCTTAATTTCACGCCTGTATTATTTCTGAGAGTTTTCCATTTCTTTCTCAAGAAAATGTTAGCACATTCCATGTGCTTACTGCGTCGTCGAATGACTTTTTCTCTAGTCCCTTCCCATTCAAAAGAAAGCTCAAACAATGTTATTCTCCTTGAGTTAGAGGAGAACTGAAGGTAAGCTGATTATGGCGTACAACATATTCAGTACGCCAAACCATCCAAACGTGAGCATATTACCGATGCACCACCACCACCCCTGTCGAGGCAATCCTCGGAAAATTACTCATCGAAGAGCAAACATCCAGGATCGTACACACTATGGAGTGCGTTATTCACACAGCCTTAACTTTTCTGAACATATCTCGAATAAAGTTTCCCGAATGAGAAGAATGCTTGGTTTCATCTTTTGTGAGTACCTTCATAGAGAATCAAGAACAATTTTCTACAAAGCATGCGTAAGACCTATTGCTGAATACTGCTTTTTCTTACTCTCTAACTTACGCCTGTCTGATATATTGAAGCTTGAAGGAATACAAAGTAATTTTACTCGAAAAGTCCTGAATCATAGCTCACTTATTGATTACTCTACTCTCTCAACTGAACTTTCGATTTCCAGCTTCTTACTTCAATTTCTCTTCTGTCCACTTGATACTCTCCACAAATCTTCCTTCTTCATTCCTGTACTCCTCTATTTGTGGGTTTTATATTCCCATAATTTACTTTAATTTTAGTGGTCAGTATATATTTTATCTTGACTTACCACTGTAGTGACTACTTCAAAATAACTGGTTAAGTAGTGCTTTGTTTATATATATACACTTGCCAGGACGTTGTCTTTTTTCCTCTCTTTTCTCCCTTTTCAGAACGCTATTCACGGTGGCAAATCCATGGCGCCTCCAGAGAACATGCACCTTATGTACATGCATGTCTGGATTACAGCTTATATCAAGCGCGTCCCAATTGATCTTTCCCAACAAATTCACTACTGATCTCAGCAAGCCGCCCAATGAAAATGTGTTTGTATCATACTGTTTCTGTCAGTGACATGGTGTAAATGTGCTATCAGAAACTGACTCTTATACTTAATTTAACTGCGATAACTTTTACAGTAGATGTGAGAGCTTTTGTGACAATTTGATCTAGCCTGTAAACTGGCATGCCTCTCATAACGTACTGTTACTTGATAATTAATATTATTATTAACTTGGAATGCTATCTCACATGAGGCGACCACAGCCGCTTGAATAGACAGCTTCAAGATGAGAATTAAAAAACATGTGCTCACTCTCGCTCTTGGATCAGCTGTGCCTGGTGCATGTCTTGAGACTTGCTAGTTGTTGTTATTACGATTTCCTCAGGTCGCCAACTTATTCTATCTCGCTTATTATCTCTGTTTTCCCTACACTCGCTAACACTTAGTCTTCTCGCAAAATCTTCACTACCAATTAATAAACTAAATTATCCATTTATTTACTTAGTTCTGAAATCCTCTCCCTATTAGCACTGGAATTTTTTCAAATTATTATTCCCTATATTGCAACTAAATGATCTCCGGTCTAGTTATGTGATAGCTGCTGGTATCCAGAAACACTACTGACCTGAAACAAACGTTTCCATTTAACCAACTCACTCACAACCAACTGTCAGCAGTCAGATGACGCGACTATAGTCATTGGATACAACTAAATGCCTGGAACCGTAACGAAAGAACAGGAATTGAGATCAACGAAACTGTTTGGTTCATAATAGCTCGTGAAAAAGCTATTGGATATTGAACCATTTCAAAGGAGCGCTTGATTTAACCGCTGGGGAACAAATGGTCTCTGGCGTAGTTCTTAATGGTCATGGTAATTTCAGAGTGAAGATAGCGCTTAGTCTAATCAGCTGTAAAAGACTTGTTTTGAAACGTGTTCGCCATAAAAACGATAGTCCTGGCGTTGATGAGGCTGAGGTCTGCTTACTGAAACTTGTCGATGAAATATCGAATGGAACGATAATCAAAATAAATGATACAGGTTCTATTCGCACTCTTCTTTAAGATTACAAATAGGTACTATTTTGTCAGTTTCCCCAGGATCTCTGATTGGAGGCAGTTTCAGTTTCGAATGTTCGAGTACCCGGGGTATTGGTTACTACTTGGAATTTCTGCTCATGGTTGCACCATTTTGTAAAACTCCTATAGAAGCAACTTTATTTGGTGCTTCCAATGTTTCCCGTGATCCGTCTGTAGACATGATTGTACATTCGTGGTTACCCATATATAGTAATGTCGTTGGTTTAAGTGCCAGCGCTGCGACGAAGATTGATATTCGTAAACGTGGTGTATATCCTGGTGGCGGGGCTGAAGTACTTTTTTATTCAAAGCCTTGTAGCGGAGTTTCTCCCATCAACAAGATTGGCGTTGGAAAGGTCTACAGGTAGGTGCAATGTTTATTTCAAGTACCAACTAGTGATTTTGCAATCCAAGAATTCGTCAGAGCAGATTTATCTTGAAAGTATGTAATTAGTATGCATACTTACCACAAATAGTAGAGTAATCAGTTACGCCATGTAGATACAGCGGACTGACACAATTTCGTGTGTAAATGATCGTAGTTAACTATTCTGGAATAACATAAAAATGACCTAATAATTTATTTGCATCATTTTGGTACCAAATATTAGTTGAAATTTTCGATGTTATATTGGATGCTACGGTTATAATCTTGAGTTAATGATTTTGGCAAATTTATAGATGTAAATAATACATTGTATCTGGTAAACCTCCGAGAGAAGATTCGATATTTCATGTACCTCGCGTACAAAGCAAGTACTACGGTGGATGAGACGAACCAGTTATTTCTACACCTACCTACCATTGATTTCTCCTGATCATACAACCATCTCCTTACCTCTCAGTTCCCAGAATGAAAGGCCTGAATGTGATCATGTATAAGGCAGTCTTCAGCATATTCATTGGAATAAATATTCTACATTTGTTATCCACGCACAAAGCGACTTTAAGATCAGAATTTAACATTATTCAAACCCTCTTTAATTATCACTTATTAGCTTTAGCTTGTCTTGGTGTGGTACAGAATGTTGGTTGCAAGCACATATATGCCCAGCTGACTATATGGACTTTGACTACCCTCATCGTGTTGCTGTGGTTCATGTCGAGTATTTTCGTAGATCCAAATAATCAACTGTCAGGTCAGGTTATGTGTTCGAGTCGTGTCTGTACCTAAACATTTCAGTCTCATTACTTATGTCCACTGTTCTCTTGAAATTGTTGTGATCCAACCAGCGTAAAAATCAATGCTTAGTTACTGGTTTATGTTATCATCCTATCATTAGCTAGCCTAGCGTCAAGTTACTAGTTTACTAATAAGATTGTTACCAGTTCGTGTTATTTGTATACTAGGTTTTGGAGATATTTTTGTGGTTTAAAACGTATCATTTCAACATACGATACTTGTAAACTTCGTTTCTAGAAGTAAACTTCCAGTGGTTTACTGTTTTCAGTCACTTCCAAACGTATCTAGTGGTTTTTCTCAACACAAAGGTTTAATTCTAGAGATAGTACTAACAAGTGAATTGAGACATGATCAGATACGATTCAGAACAAAGGCTAGTGGTAATCCTGTTATAGCTTTCTAGCACATTTCATAATAGTAATATGAGTTCACTTTAACTTCAAAGAATCATTCCGGACTGTATTATTAACGGAAGTATATTTTTCATAGAATCCCACTTCTGTTCATTTCGATATCGATCATACCATCTTTCCTTCCATAATTTCTTCACAAATCTTCGGTTTAGTTGCATGGCACATACTTTTTATACCTTGCAGTACCAGGATTAATGAGCATATCCTGTAACACTTCTGTAAATTGTCTATAATATAGTGTCATTTTAGTGAGCAGACTACCTTAGGCTTGAACTCGATTAATTAGCTATGACTAATCAATTTTTTTATGTTTCTTAATTAACTTAGTCGTACTAATTAACTTTTCAGAGTTCGAGGTATTGCCTGGAGCTGTCTTGTTAGCTCTTCATATGGACAGGCTTTAGTTTCTGGGGCAAAATCACTTCTTAATCAATTTCTAAGTGATATATACTTTACAATAGATCATCGAAAGGTTAGTTTATAAATTAAAGTTAAGATTATCAAGTGCCACATTTGCTTTATTGTCATGAGAATTTAGGTTATGTTTTGTTAGTTTTGTCCCTCGTAAAGACATCTTGTTTTGCTTCCAGTGTTCTTTTATTCCAGAAGTGTCCATACTTGTCAACTTTTTTCTAGTTTTTGAACTGAAGTTTAGTGCTGTTTACTTATGTTAGCGTGTTTTAATGACATGATTTCCATTTCGCTGGACAATTACAATCTAAACTAATTTTTCAAAGAAATATGTGACCTAAATGTCCTTTGATAATGCAAACTTCTGTTTTCAAGCACCCAATATTCACACGTTAAAGTTTGGCAATTTTTAAAGTATTTTTACTGCAAAGTTGTACAACCAGATGAAACAGTACATTGGTCCATACTTTAAAACATCGCAAATTAGAAGCTAAAAAGTGCTAAAAGTATTGATAATTACTATAAATTGGCTAATGGGTAAAAGCAATAAGTTTTTAACTTCTATGTCATCCACTCTGTTACTTCACAATTAACGGTAGAAACAACTATAAGGACAGAAATTTAGTAACAAGCTAAGATACATTTGTAGATCGCATGCATTTATGTAATTCAGAAGCAGTGAAAGCATGATTGAACCATTAATTATGAAAATCTCTATGCCATCAAAAGAATATGGCTGATACACTAAATTCATGGAAAGTACTAAGTTTGATTTAATTGCCTAAAAATCACTCTATTTAATTTTTGTCATAATTCTGTTCACACTGCAATTTAATTATCAGTAGGCTTGATTGTTGGTCATTAATATCAACCCCCTGTCGAAGATGCTTTTATAATTCTCTGTTTGATATATTAACTTTTAGTGAAAACTATCCACAATCTTCACAGGTCCACCTGGCAATTGCAGCTCCCAGGTTTTTCTAAAATTACTGTTAATACGACATTAAATGTTCAGTATCGTTTACTTTTCTAGTATTACCTCACATCTTGGGTTGTATTCTCTTCCATAAAACATATTTCCCATTACTAAAGCACTTTATTTGTGCTGTACTTTACTCAATGTTTGCCTTATCAGAGATAATCTAAATTTGTGTAGTTCCTCATTCATCACTCTGCTTCTAGTCGAAATAAGTCGAAGTCGATCAAATGACTTATGAGAACTAAGGCTTAGTTTTATCTGTATTGCATCCAAACCCCTGATATTCCAGAAGTAGGCCCAAGTATTTCACTGTAAAACCACTTTTCGGTTTGAAGTTTTACCGATTTTTGCCCATTTTCTTTACGTCAGTATATTGTCATATAATTAAGGCACTAAAAAAATTGAATTTTTAGTCAACTTTCAGCATTCTGTGATACTTTCACAAATTTCTTTAGGGTCAATATGCAGGCAAAAGTCCTGGATTCGGTCTGACGCTCTGGGCGGAACGCAAAGATGGTGGTGTTTATTCTGCAGAAGCAATGTCGGAACCTGAAGGGAGTGACAATGTTCTTATGGACGCGGAAGCAATAGGAAAATTAGCAGCGAGCCGATTACTAGATCAGGTATTCATTTATTAGCATAACCTTGTTTTTAATATTGCTCATTTCAATGAGTTGAATTAACATTTCACTAGTTGAACCTAGAGATTTTGACGTATCTCATCAGTAGACTATGCACCTAGACCACTTACTACTTTTCATAACTATATTCTATTTCCAAGTTTGAAAAGCGAAAATTTTTATATCCCTCAACATTACTTTTATGGATAAACAAAGTGTTAACTGAAATGAAAGTTCGGTCTGTTTAGTTTCCTCATTGATACAGAAATCTATGTAAAATTAGCATGATTTTAGTCAGTCAGCTACAGCGTAGAACTTCATACGTACGTACATCAGTTCAAGTCACCATACCACATTAGCACAGAGATGCAATTATCAGTTGAAAACCCATAGTAGTAAAGGTAGTAAAAGTATAAGCAGTAATTGGAAAGACTAGGATTCGAAGATATTATTCAAAGAGTATAATCGAGGGAAATAAATTTGAGAAGAGAAAGATTATCATGAGGAATGAAGAGGATGATAGTTTGAACGAACACAAAGAATAAATGCATCTGAACGATTGGAAACGATTTTGAGCTATATCATCCAAAGTCTTTAACCATTGGTTATTATTGTCTCGTGGACCCCAACCAGGTAGTCTACACCTACTAACATAGCTCATTCCAGTTGTCAATGGTTTCATGGATTTTTGCCATGTTTTGGTTTGGCCCACTCTAATTTTCTTCCAGCCTACCCCTACACTTGGCGTCATCGCTCACCAAGGCAGTCGGTGGTTGAGCATACGTAACACATATCCTAACCACTGCATCCGATGAAGATTCGCTACTTCATCAACAATCGATGGTTAGATACCCTGAATGACATGGCTCGGAATCGTTTGCAATGGCGCAAGTGCATCAATTCTTTGAGCTCTCTCAAATTCTAATCTTCTGGAATCGTCAGCACCTCTACCTTTGTCTTTCTAACCTTATCTCACTGAATTATACTTCTTGAATAATATCTTCAAACCCTAGTTTTCTTCATTACCATTAATACCTCTACTATCTTCATCACTATGGGATTTGATTTGACATTTGCGTCTCTGTGCTAATGTGGTATGGCAACATGAACTTATGTGCATACGTACGAAGTTCTACGTTGCAACTGACTGACTGCATTTCTCGACGACCGACTGCAGCCTTTCGTAGAATTGATCTTTTACGTCGTCATTGTAGTCATTGGTAGGTGCATAGCATTGGATGACGTTCATTGTAATTTCCTCTCCTTGTTTTGAAGGATGCTTTAATGATCCTGGGTCCATGAGATTCCCATCCTATCAGCGCCTTTTGTGCTTGTTTGGACAGTATCAGTGCAACTCCTTGTGTATGTGAAGCATTTTCCTCTTCATGACCAGAGTATAACAGCAGTTCCCCTGAAGCAAGTCTCAATTGTCCTACCTGTGTCCAATGCGTTTCACTGATGCCGAGCACCTCGAGGTTGTATCTTTTCATTTCTGCCGCAACTTGAAATAGTCTTACAGTCTCCCACAATGTACGAACGTTTCGTGTACCTTAAAGAATGGTTTCTCTGGTTGTTAGAAGGTGTATCAGCCTCGTAACTTCCGAGGGAACTCAGCTTTCACCACGCGACGTCATAATTCTTCTTCCAACTCACAGGGCAGAGTGAAAATGGTTTGAATTATTTTTTCTTGTTAGCATTTTCTTGGCAAGTTAGTTTTAGTTGGGATGGGGGCGCCAACCCCATTTCCGATTCCTCCTCCTTTATGCAGGCTTGAGACCGGCAGTAGCTCCGAATGGACTACAGGCGGAGTTTGATCAAACTAATTAACCTAATCAATGATGTACATTTTATCTCGCAATTCAGTTGCTTCTTTGTTATTAGATTTGTCTTTCTTTGATTTCGAATTCTAAAACCAATAGTGGAACCTCCCCTGTTCTTATCTAAAATACTGAAACATGATCCAAGCAAAACACGATGAGGTTTTTTCGTGTTTAAAGTAACTCATTCATCAGTTGACAAGGTATGAATCGCAATCGGAGTGTGTGTTAATAATTACTGCCCGGTGACCTAATCCTCAGGAGGCCTAGTTGGGTTCGAAATAGGATACCCCTGGCAACTTGAAAATTCAAATTTTCAGTAAAAATCATCAATTCACAAACCGAAATAAACGGTTCATGATTTTAATCTTCAAGGTGCTTTAAAAGTATTATATATTGCTTCCTAATTTAATCGAATGGTATACATTTATGTATTCCACGTAAACGTTAGATCACTTTTACTGATAATGCTAAAGATTATAGTATATGCATATTATCATGTCATGTTTTGAACGTGCAAGATTTACGGAGGTGGCTTCGTTGATTCGGGAACCCAATCGTTGGCTTTTATCCTAATGGCTTGTGAAAGTGGACGTAATGCTAGCCGTCTGGCTGTCGGAAACCTGTCTGAATATTCTATTCGTACATTAAGGCTTATCCAAAAATTCCTTGGGGTAAGTTATTAAATTAGCATTTTGTTATCGCAGTAAATTAAAGGTTCAAGTTTATCTTGATGTAATTTTAAATTAGTCTCATAACTTTATCTTCGGCCTCGTTAACATAACACTGAAATGTATACTTACGCCTGTTGCCCCCTCTTTAAGCAAAAGCCATCGACCGGGATTCTCCAACCAACTCCGTCGTGTACTGTTTCCTAGTTCCTGAGTGCTATCCATCTTTCTGATAATCTGCCTCTAATTACCAGAGTGATGTGTTTTTTGGTCTGGCCTTGACTCACTTGAGTGGTTTCTGCACCTCCATTTTTCCCTGATTTCTTCCTCGACTAAAGCTAGTTTATTCTCTACCATAGTAGGTTGTTACTGATGATGTCTGGCCAACGGATCGGGAGTATCTTGCATCGACAACTGTTTATAAATACCTGTATCTCTTGGAAGATAACTTTCGTAGTTATTCAAGTTCTGTTCCATATAATAGAACTATTTTGTGTTAAATGACAGTTGCTTAGCGTTCTAGACCAATTGTAGGACTGCTGCCCGTGCTTTGTGAATCTGTACTTCACATCTTAATTGAATCACCGTTGTCTATGAATAATGCTACCCAAGCACATCAACGTTACTTCTATATCTCGCTTCAGTCCTTCAGCTAGAATATTGTCTCGTCCCTGGTACTTTACTACTACTTATTTATCTGATAGCCATACTCATTTGTTTGGTTTTTGTGGGGTTACTGTTTCGGTAGGTCCAGAACTCTTCAAAGCGCTCTACCCACCTGTTCTTGGATCTCAGTAATTGGTTTGCTTTCTTTGTTCTTAACTGATCATTTTGGTTCACCATATTTTCCGGCTAGTTTTACCATTATATCGTGTTGTTGTCTTGCATTTCTTTCTCATGTAGCTCTTTCCTTCGTCGTTGTTTAGGTCTTGCTATTACTTCCGCTTATCAGCCCTAATGGTCGTCTCCATGCGCTTGTTAGTTACTGCGTATTCGGTCCTTGCCCTAGTTCAGCTGTTATTGATTGCTCCCTTTTCCTGAATCTTATCCAGAGTATTAACAAAGATCCATTCCTTACTGCCCAGCACTTGGTGGAATTTCGAAGCTATTGTTTCTTTAATCCACTCTCAGTTGTTATCCATGGCAGTTTTCTCTTCATTAAGTAGATTGTAAAAGGCTTGTGACATATTATTGAGAGCTATCCTGAATTTTTTGAGTTTGTCAGTATCTCGAATAAAGGCTGTATTAATTTTTGTCATTCTATTCCCATAATCGTCCAATGCTTCTTTAATTTCAGTCCCATCTTCAACACTTCCAAGTGATGCTCTGAAGTTATATCAGCTCCTCTTTTGGTTCTTCCGTCCTCTATCGTCCTTCTGAAATTTTATTGATACAGGTATGGTAGATTTGGTTCTGTGTAGTGTGATCCGGTGAAATCCATGCAGCTTTGTGCATGCATCTGTGTTGAAAAATGGTGCCAACCATAAACATTTCTCAACAGCTCATAGGTTTGCGAATCTCTCACCATTTTCGTTCCATTCTCCCAGTCTATGTCGTCCCATGATGTTTTCACATCCACCGTTTCCCATTCCAATCTTGGCGTTTAGATCTCCCATAAGAATGGTCAAGTCTTTGTTAGGCATTTCTCGATGATTGACTGCATCTCACAAAATTGATCTTTACCGTTTTCACTGTTATCGTTGGTAGGCGCATAGCACTGAATGGTATTCATTGTAATCCCTTCTCTTCTTTGTTTTGAAGGATGTTTTGATGATCCTGGGTCCATGAGATTCCCATCCTAGAAGTGCCTTTTTTCCTTGTCTGGACAGCATCAGTGCAACTCCTTGCGTATATGTAGCGTTTTCTTCTTCATGGCCACAGTACAACATCTCTTCAGAAGTTAGTATTTTCTGTCCAGTTTGTCTCAAATGAGTCCCACTTATTGCAATCACCTCAAGAATGTTTCTTTCCATTTATATAGACACTTGAATTGTCCTCCCGGTCAGGGTGAATGTTCCGTGTACTTGTATTGATTTTCGCTCTGGTTGGCAGAAGTGGCATTGGCCTCGTTAATCCCAAAGAAACCCGGCTTCTAGCATGAGACGTCATGATTCTTCTAAATCAAGACCTTTCATAGTAGAGTTTATATAGTTCAGCTGATTATTTTGGGCTACTCTTTTTCTAACAAGGTCGTCTTCTGCGTAATGAGGTCGCTAACCACATACCCAACCCTATCCTTTCATCCGAGTTATGAACCGGCAGTAAACCTAGATATGCTCCTCGTTGTGCTTTTGATATGCATAGTTTGTTGTTATACTGTATGACTGTCGAGCACTGTTGTCAAAAATTAACTGAAAACTAATACCAGGGGTCCCATAATTTACCTCACAGATGAGTCTTAGCTAATTAACCACTAAAAACCGAAAAGCGTTGGATAGGTGTTCCGTCCCTGTCCGGGATTCTTCTACATGACCCCACTGAGAATCAAGTGAGAAGCTGCTGCATATTGAAGATAAAATATTTAATCATTCGGGTAGACCTCATATTGTCTTTTTTTCTGTTTTAGGTAACATTTAATTTTCAGTACCAAAGTCAAAATATTCCTATCGCGTTATCCGAAGACGATGTGCAGAAGGACGAAAATGAAAGTAATATAGATTCTAATTCGAAAATTCTGATTGCTACTTGTTTCGGTGCTGGTGTACAAAATATTAATAAATCTATTAGATAATACCTAACCTTTATTTGTCATTGAATCATATCATGTAGGGTAATGTCAAAAAGACTTCTCTTAATGTCCGTATTTTAAAGACGATCCTTTATCCCAACTATTAAACAGAATATTCTTCCAAGAATTTTTATTTGACAGGTGACTTATTGTGTTTAGTCAAGGTGTCTTTTGAAACAGTATGAGGACGATTTGTTTCGTTCGCCAGGTCGTTACTGTGCTGTCGAAAACTGAACTGTCATGGTGACTGGTAACTTACGTTGTGATTAGGCTTTAAGCACCCCGTTTATAATCTTATTAATCCAACAGTTTTGACGTACTTAATTAGAAAGTCTTTTTAGGATGCGTATTATTAATATTTAATGTCAGAAATCCGTTAGTGAAGTTTGTGAGGCGAATCATGTATCCGGAGATTTGATTATGTTTTCCCCACTAGTAAATCATTAGGTTTTTCATACCACTCCATCTAGTCAGTGCTACTTGATAAAAAAATTAATTTCAGAAACGGATTGTAAATATCATCATCTTTCTCTTTCTAAATTTGTCTCACTGAATTATACTTCTCGAATCATATCTTCGAACCCTAATCTTCTCCATTACTGCCAATATTTCTACTATCTCTACCACTATGTGATTTGAACTGACAGTTTCGTCTCTGTGTTAATGCACCATAGCAATCTGGACTGTTGTACTTACGTAGGAAGTTCTGTGTTGTATCTGTCTGTCTGATTGTAATATTTTACAGAGATTTCTAACATGAGAGAAGCTGTCGATCAAATCTATTTTCAATGATTGTGGACGTAAAGACGATTTCCTTATTCGGTTGTTTCTAGGCGTACTCAACGATCTGTAGGATCTCTGATGTCCGAGTGACTTTTTATGCCAATTGTCTCAACTAGTTTGATAAACGTGTAGTATAGTAAAAGAAAAGAGGAATAAGGGATTTCGTGTGAAAAGTTAACTGACGAGAAATATTTAGCTTCGCTAGGAGTTAGTAAGATTTCTGTGGGCGATGTTATTTCTATGAGGTTATAGTAGATCCCCAACTTTGCGCTCCGTTCAATAGACCTTTCCTGATATGTTGTTTGATAATTGTTTTGAGTCCCAGATGTTCTTCAATTATAGAAATGGGTCTCTTGCTTAGCCGATCCGGGTCTCTAAATCTACTTCGAATCTCCCTTGTTTATCAATCCTAACCACGTATGTAGAGGTTTCCGCATCTTCCAATCTTCTCCGTCGAGTGTGATTTAGTTGGTGTATGTAGTGTTGTGTTGGAGGCTCTTGCTTTTTCGCTTGTGCATATTGAGACCTACTAATACACAGGTCGCCTTCTGCATTTTTTTTATTGCGTGCAGGATATAAGGGCTTGATCGTTTGCGAAGTCCGGGCCGCCTAGATGCATCCGAGCTGTTCACTGTATCCCGCGCTATCCATCAGATGATGACGTCTTCAGATTGTAGTCTTCCACCAGGATATAGAGAAAGGATGGGAGTGAGCAACCTTACCTGACGCCGATTTTCACTTGGAATGAGTCTGTGGTCTGCCCTCCAGACGTGATCTTGCAGTTCAATTCATCCTTAGGATTCCTTGTAGTGTAGCTGTATTCGCAGCCGCCTTAATTTCCGAGACCGTTCCGCTGTACTCGAACTCCACGAATTCCCGCTCGCGATCAAAAACGGCTGCAAGTACTCGCCCCCAGCAGGCATCTTCCAAGCCATGCCAAAAGGCTGCTTCGGAAGCGAGTCTAGGTAGGGGCTGGCTCCACCAGACTTTTAGGTCTGGCGCCCGTCATTGTGGAGCCCCCCGCTCATACAAGGTGGGTAACTTCCGATCCGACGAGTAAACGCGTCCGTATTCATCGGCCCCTCATCTCAATTTGACCGCTTATTTTACGTGCACGATAGCCGCACTAACGCCAGGTACCTCACTGATACACGTGCCCAAGTTTCTGTCGCACCACTAGGAAGCAGCAAGTCCCCACTTAGGATGCTTCATCTACGTACTGCGAATGGCACTGTCATTACTACCTATGGTACACGACAGCTGACGTGCAACCTGAGCAACCGACGACAGTATTTGTAGACGTTCATCATTGTTAATGTTCCCACAGCCATGCTCGGCATCGATTTCTTACAGCATTATGAGTTGCTAGTCGACTCACGTAGGCTGCAGCTAATCGATACTTGGTCGGGCAGCAAATTCATGGGCTTTCGAGGTGAAATAGGTGCTTACTGAATTACAAGGGTATTTCATTAGCGTGATGACATTTTCCATGCTTTACTCGGAAAATTCCCCTAGCTAACTAGACCACTCGAGGAGGATCTGTCGGTTACTCATCGTGTGGTACACTACATCGTTACTCGAAGACCACCAGTCACGACAAGATCTCGGCGACTGGCACCGGACAAATTAGCTTTCGCTAAACGTCAGTTTGACAATTTACTAGCTACTGATATTATTCGTCCTTCTCACAGTCCTCAGGCCTCACCACTCCACATGGTTGGCAAAAAGGATGGGATAAGTTGGCGACCATGTGGTGACTACCGAGCATTAAAAGTAGCAGCACGCTTCGTTAACTATCCCATCCCCCACATACACGGCATCACTCAAGGGCACGACTATCTATTCTAGGTTTGAACTTGTACGAGCATTTCATCAGATCCCAGTTGCTCTTGAAGATATCGAGAAAACTGCTATCACGACTCCTTTCGGTCTTTGAGTTCCTACGAATGCTACTTAGATTACGGAATGCTACTCAAACTTTCCAAAAGTTTATCGATAGCCCAGTGCAGGACCTTGCTTTTGTTCACGTCTATATTGATGATCTACTAATCGCATCATAAAATGTAGATGAACATTATCAACATCTTACACTCTTATTCAAACGCCTTTCGGAAAATAGAATAATAGTCAACCAAGAAAAGTGTGAACTGGGGAAGGCAGAAATAAAATTCTTGGGTCACATCATTAAGCATGAGGGTATTCTGCCTTGTGAAGATGAAGTACGTACAATCATGGAGTACATTGTACCATCCTCACTCAAAGGACTGAAGGCTTTTCTCAGTCCGGTCAACTTCTACCGACGTTTCATTCCTCACGCGACAGAAGAGCTACGACCACTAGCCGGCCTACATCGAGGTAATCCACGCACACTGGAATTGAACGATGTCGCGCCTTCTGCATTTTCTGAGAATGAAAAAGCTTTAGCTAAAGTCACGCTTATCACCCATCCTGACCCATCAGCCACTCTTAGTATAACGACTGACGCATCAGAATTCGCTATAGGAGCCGTCACACAACAGAACATCGCTGCGAGTTGGCAACCTCTCGAATTTTTCCCACGACACCTTACTCCTACTGAGACGAGATTTAGCGTTTTTGGTCGCGAACTACTAGCAGCCTACTGTGCCATCAAATATTTCCGGCACGTAGTAGAAGGTCGTAACTTTATCCTCTTCACCGAATGTAAGCCTCTAACGTATGCTTAACATACCAAGTCTGACCGTTACTCACCACGAGAGTGCTGACATTTGGACTATATCTCTCAGTTGACGACAGACCTTCTTCATATTAAAGGCGAGTCGAACTATGTTGCCGATGCTCTCTCACGTATTCAAGTGAATGCAGTTACTTTACCTGCTATGGCTGCCGCCTAAGCAAATGATCCGCTTGTGCAGAAGCACAACAATCGACATCTTTTCTGTTACAGGAAGTACCACTGGCTACCACGTCAGGTACCATCCTGTGTGATAATTCTACTGGTTTACCCCAACCCATCGTACATTCTGCTCATCGTCGTCTCGTCTTCGATGGACATCATGGTTTGTCTCATCCAGGTATTGCAGCCACATTACTTCTCATCGCTGCACGATACGTCTCGCCTTCCATGAACAACGATGTCCGTATGTGGGTAAAGCAATTCTCACAATGTCAACGATCAGAAGTGAACAGGAACGTAGCCGCCTCTATCGGCACATTTGCTACACCTGATGCTCGCTTCGATCATGTCCATACTGACATTGTAGGACTATCGCCACCATCGCATGGGCATGATCACATACTCACGTGCACCGATCGTTTCACAAGATAGCACGAAGTTATTCCCATCACTTCTATTACGGCGGAAACAGTTGCTCACCGCTTCGTAGAACGATGGATGGTGAAATACGGTTGTCCCTTGAGTGTCACAACTGACCTAGGACAACAATTAGGGTCCGAATTATTCTCCTCGCTAACCCGGCTGCTTGGTACGGAATGCATACGCACTACCGCCTAACACCCAGATTCGAGCGGTTCAGTTGAACGGTTTCATCACCAACTTAGAAGTGCTCTTCCAGCACACGAAAACAATAACTAGGTACGAAACCTTACCGCTCGTCCTCTTATGTATCAGAACGAGCTTAAAGGCAGATATTCATTGTTCTGCCGCTGAATTGTATGCGGCATGACACTGGATCTGCCTGGGGAATTTTTCACACCATGGAGCAGTGACAACTCCAATAAATCAGACTACGTCCAACGATTGTCTGAATGCATGCGGGCGCCGCCTCCTGTGTCAACTCGAGTACAACATCGACAGATCGCTCTCCCACGAGAGTTATTGACCTGTGAGCACATTTTCATACGAGTCGATTCGGTACGCAAACCTTTGCAAGAGCCTTATGAAGGACATTTTCACGTGAATTCTCGTCACGAAAAGACCTTCAAGGTTGCTCGACATGGTCACGTCGAGGTAGTCTGCATTGACCGTCGCGAGCCAGCAAACGTCGATCACAGTGCCCTAGTTGCTAATCCGAGACCCAATACTAGACCTATCAAACCTTCTAGCGGGATCCTTAAAGCTACTTCGAGTCCCACGCTAGACAAATCAGACACCTTATTCGCACGTCACAGTCAACAGCACGCGCCATCTGCACTATCTACGGATGATAAACTGGTCTCACGTTCCGGGGCACCGCATACTCCTACCTGTACGTCTTCACGACTAATACCTCAATCAACAACGGATACGGTATAGGACCTTATTCTCATACTACACACATGCTACGCCTTTCTCTTTCCGATGTTTTTTATCCTCAGCCCACGCCCACGGGCACTGACCTGTTGGTACCTTCGACTCTAGTCAAACTTGGTGGCAGCTGGCCTTACCACCGACGCTCTTGTCAATGCACTGAGTTGATAATTTTTTTCCGAATATGTCTGGCATACGAATATTTCGAACTGTCGTTTCTGGCTCCTTCGCTCAATATAGTTCTGTTCTACGTCATCAGTTTTTTATTCTGGTACGAACCCCTACGAACGCAATGTTCAGATTTTGGATACGAGCCACGCTGGTGTGGCACTCCAAATCAAGCACTAAACTTGGCACGTTACTATTGGTTCATTTTAACGTGCAAGAATCTTGTTAACAAATCGAGCTTTATTGGTCGCTTCCTGTCCGTCAACCGTTCCGCCCTACAACCGCCCGTTAGCTAACGAGCCCTCCATCCCTCACGAAAGCGCTACGTATCGAAAGTGTAAACTCTTTCTACGGGGGGGCTAATGAAGTGGTTTACTTTTACGAAGAAAGCACAATTGCTGAAATATAAACATTTATTGTTGTAATTAATTCTGACAATAATAGTTATATTGTACACCTCTTGTTTATCCGTACAAAAGACTATCTCTCGAGCAACAGTCGTGTTATTCCCATGTAACAGAGTCAAAGTCACCATGTATGATGTTGCTAACCCGTCCTGTTTTCTTTCTATTTCAGGGCGATCAAACGTTAACACTTTGGAAGCTGGAGAACAATCCCTGAGTGGTCTGAACATACAGGATGACTCTTAAGACTTTGGTACCATAGCGACCCTTTTCTGTAGGATTCCGCGTATTTCAATTCTTAAAAATAAACGAGTTCCGCGGCAACCACTTCGTCTTCTTGCTTGGTGTGAGATGTTAAACTAACCTTGTGTGTTGTGATTTTAGATCCTATCCGTTCTTCAGTGACTGGTGATTACACGTGTTACACTCATTCTCCTCTTCGCACGTCTCCTGCGTGGACGTTAGCCGTTTGTACGCCCTCTTGCCTCGATATTATTTGGATATCACGAGGCCAGTATCAAATCTACTTCTTCATCTAGAATCTACTTCTTATTTGATTCTCACAGTTTCCAAATTAATATTTGTTATCCAGCGAAGAAGTATATCGTCCGAATTGCTATAACATCTTGCATCCAAAATCTTGCAACTTGCTCAGAAACTCGGTGGTTGGCGACACTCATATGCACGCAAACGAACAATCAGTGTGAGCAGTTAAGTAAACCTCCTGCACTGTGATAATAACATGTTTTCCACAAATCGCCGGTAACGTTATTAAAGTCATAAGATTGAAGTTATGTACCCGGTAGTAGCAATCTGCGTTCTAGGTGCTCAACTAGTGTTCGCTCAATTGTGGGCAGGAATCATTTACAATGATAATCTCGACCGAAATTCCTTTACATACTGGTAGCCGCTTGTTTAGCCGACTAGGCTTGTCATTATGTTCATCTCCCCATCAAGTTTTGGAGGCTTCATTCCCACCCGAAGGATATCGAATTCGTTCTCCTTGTCGATATGTTCACAGATGCATAACTGCACGTTACATTCATTGCTGTCAAATAACACACTATTACTGCAATTATTATCCATTCCCTCCTAACTGTAAATCAGAACAAAGATTTTAGAGCCAGTTTCCTAATGATACACTCATGTTTGTTGTATTCAAGACAGATTCATTTGTTTGTCACATACAGCCGTATGTGACAGTATTATCTTGATGTCTGAGCACGATTTCTAAACCAAAATATTATGCCGACACCTGAATAACGCGTTTTCGAAGACGAATATACAATGTACCGAGAACAATAAAACCCTTTTCCGGAATTACCAAAGCGTTTTCGAATAACAATCAGAACTAAGTGTATTTTTTGGTAGCGTAATACACTAAAATATGAGATATACTGAACAGTCGACAAATTCGATATTTGCGTTACGGCTCATGCGTAGTCCCACATACTATCCGAGGCCGTAACAAGACGGTAGTTTTTATTTTACATTTTCAAACACATATCAAAATTAAGTTGATTATCACCATAAACGTAATTTTATACTTATTTGTGTAGTTGTTTGCGGTTATTACCTTTTTTCTTTTGGGGCAGAATCCCATATCGTTAAGGATGTAGGTGATTTAGGCTGTCAGACAAAATATCGGTAAAACTTTCAAGACGGCGATTTTCGGTTTATTCAAGAGGTGTTTCATGAGAAGCAGCTGCTACTTTTTATTCAGAACCTGCTTACGACTAAACGTTTATTGATTATTATGTATCACACACATTGCTTTTATCTGTAAAGGAAAAGATACACTGTATGTTCTGTTTTGGACATAAAGATGACCTAGAACTCTTGCTTCTGAAAACTGAAGCCCTGTTAATTAGGGATACGCGTTCTAACATCCACAGTGATAAAGATTGCTCTGCTGAGTTTAGCGCCTATTCTTCTGCATAAAACAGTATATATTTCATAAAAAATATTTCCAACAATTCCACTTAGTAAATCCACGTGCTTTTGGTAATGACTAAGCAACCCGAAAGTATACGTTGGTTTCCTTTTGGCCATAACTCTGTAGATATATTTAGGGTTTACTTGTATTTCAGCTGCCAGAGCTTGATCTAAAAATCTATCACTCCGAACTTTGGCACTATACCTGTTACTGAATATCAGGTAGGAACCACAATCAAAATCTCTCAGATAGACTTTCCACTTGTGTCAAGCTCTCCTTTTCGCTTGCGGCAAGTATTCTATGCCTCTCTTTAATGGGGATGTTCCCTTTCTAGGTATGTAATTTGCCTGAGGTACGTTTTGTGAAGTGACATTTACAATGACGCCCATAACTACTCTCCAGTTATTAGTTACTGTTAGTCCCCATTACTCTCAAGGCTGTGAAGAGTAGAAGATGATCCCTTGTGGTCGTGTAGTTTCCCCGGTGCAGCATAGGTAGGTAGCATTCTCGTCCTTCTAAAGTATTTTGTTTGTAACCATGTTAAACATGACTGCGCCATGGTCACTGCTTACTATTGTTGTGTGGGCATATATGTTCGATACTGTTAACGTATATCAGCACTCCGTCATGTTTGCATCCATTCTTTGTCTTCTCTCAAATTATTATTTTCTGAGTTCCTCATGACAGTTTCCTCTCCTCTTTTTAAATTCACTTCACTGGGATATACTTTTCGAATGGTATCTTCTATCACTAATCTTTTTTATTACCGCTGATATTTCTACTACCTCTACTACCATGGGATTTGGATTGACGATTGTATCTCTGTGCGCTTATGTGTTACGATAACTTGAACTGATGTACATAAGTACGAAGTTCTACGGTGTATTTGACTTACTGACTTAATGAGTAACTAAGCACTAACCACACACGCATTTATGTACTTTGATATATTTCGTCAGAGAGTGATTTTTTAAATTTTCGTATCTAATATAGGTTTTAAAGCTGTAAAATGACTCTCGTTAGATCAGTGTATTCAAATAACCTACTGCACTCAAGGTGGTTATATTGTTATATGAACAATCGATACTCAGTAGTTCCAGCCACTGCTTTATCTGAACCATCAACGAACGATCAAGAAACTGAAACTAATTCTAGTCAGCCTAAATACTTCAACATCTCTTTTGTGAATTCAGCTTTGTTACTGGGGACTGTAACGGGAATAAAAGTAAGTTACCTGTGCTTTTGAGATGATAGTGTATGTTAATATTGATAAAAAAGCGAAATCGCTGACTATAAACTATTGATCTTACAGTAAGTTTTTAAACTTCACTGTCTGTTTCCTACCAGTTAGTTTTTCAACACTTTGTTTATAATGATGGTAATTCCTACTTACACATTCCTGTTTAGACTATTATACTCTCTCTCTTTATATATATATATATATATATATATATATATATATATATATATATAAGTTTAGAGGTAGTCCTAACCTGTCAAAGCTGGCCAGTAATGTGACACTGGTAGTAGCAAAGGGATTTCTCTCAAGAATAAATATACACGTTACAGGCAAATGGTGACCGCCCTCATGCCACTAAAAGCACATCTTGTTGGAGATGACATCCCATCCTCGCTTCCTGACGACACTGTTATATACACGATTAACTCTTCTTAGACGTCTTCATCACTTCACACTGCTAATATTTGTGATTTGCGGACACGAAATGATACTCAGCCCCAAAAACTAAGCACTAGATTCTACTTGATTAATATAGTCGAACCCTAAAATATCCGATTACTGCTTATACTTCTACTATCTCTACTGCTATGGGATTTAAAGTGACAATTGCACCTCTGTGCTAATGTGGTATGGCAACTTGAACTGATGTACGTACGTACGTACGTACGAAGTTCTATGTTGCTGTTGACTTGACTTGAAGCACTGGAGTAAATGTTGAGACTCAATGCTCAATAGAAGACTGGTGCTCATTCCGGAACACATGTTTCGACTCTAATTATAATCTAGTATGAGCATATGTTTGTCTGCAACTTACAGAAATCGAAAATGCCGCAGCGAAGAAAACTTGGGATTTTCATAAATGATAAAAAAGCGAAGAATACATTCCAGGAGCTCCTAGAAACAATGGACAACAACGCAAGTCTTACCCACCGTGTCAACATGAAATAAAATTCAAAACGCTGTGTGAACGGCAGTGGTATCTTCGACAAAGCTGAAACAAAAGCTTGAAATAAACCAATGGATTTCAGTTGTATCTACCAAACTGATGAAAATTCTGAAACTTTATTCCGTCTGGCCGTGAACACGAGGAGCGTAGGCAGCCTAACCATATGTTGATAAAAAGCCCAAAGCTGTAGTGTGAGCCATAGCAGGTGTCGTAAGCAAAATATGGAAAAGGCAGCGGTGATAGACAACAGTTTGACAAACGTAACACATGTCCCAACCACCTCAACTGATGAAGTTTCAATACTTCACTTATATATATTTTTATATATTTATATATATAATATGTATTTATATATTATGATTTTAAGCTTTGATATTTCTTATACAAGACATTATATGCAGAAAATCGGATTAATCGTTTCCCTAGTCAAGTTATGAACATTACTTACTTACTTTACTTTCGCCTGTTACCCCAAATGGAGCATAGGCCGCTCACCAGTTTTCTCCAACCAACTCTGTCCTGGGCTTCTTCCTCCAGTTCTGTCCAATGTTTGTTCATTCCTCTCATATCTTTCTCTATTTCACGGCGTAATGTATTCTTTGGCCTTCCTCTTTTCCTTTTGCCTTGAGGGTTCCATGTGAGGGCTTGTCTCGTGACGCAGTTAGGTGCTTTTCGTAGAGTGTGTCCTATCCACTTCCACCGCTTCTTCCTGATTTCCTCTTCCACTGGAATCTGACTTGTTCTCTCCCACAGTTCGTTGTTGCTGATGGTGTCTGGCCATTGAATACGAAGTATTTTACGTAGACAGCTGTTAATAAACACTTGTATCCTCTGGATGATGGCTTTGGTAGTTCTCCATGTTTCCGCTCCATACATTAGAACTGTCTTGACATTTGTATTGAAAATCCTTATTTTGGTGTTGATTGATATCTGTTTGGAGTTCCAGATATTTTTCAACTGTAGAAATGCAGCCCTTGCTTTGCCAATCCGTGCCCTCACATCTGCATCCGATCCACCTTGATTGTCGATGATGCTGCCCAGATATGTAAAGGTGTTAATGTCCTCCAAGGCATCTCCATCAAGAGTGATTTGATTGGTGCATGTTGTGTTGCATCGGAGAATTTTGCTCTTTCCTTTATGTATGTTGAGACCTACTGCTGCAGAGGCTGCTGCTACACTCGTCGTCTTCTCTTGCATTTGTTGTTGAGTGTGCGATAGAAGAGCCAGATCATCTGCGAAGTCCAGATCGTCCAGCTGCGTCCTAACTGTCCAGTTGATACCGTGCTTCCCTCCAGCTGTTGACGTTTTCATAATCCAGTCGATCACCAGGAGAAAGAGAAAGGGTGAGAGTAAGCAACCTTGCCTGACACCGGTCTTCACCTCGAAAGAGTCGGTTAGCTGTCCTCCGTGCACGATTTTGCAGTTGAATCCATCATAAGAGTTCCGTATGATGTTGACTATTTTCTCAGGCACCCCGTAGTGTCGAAGGAGAGTCCACAGTGTTTTCCTGTCCACGCTATCGAATGCTTTCTCGTAGTCGATGAAGTTGATGTAGAGTGGTGAGTTCCATTCAATTGATTGTTCCACAATGATCCGTAATGTAGCAATTTGGTCAGTACACGATCGATCCTTCCGAAATCCGGCGTGTTGGTCTCGAAGTTGGGCGTCTACGAAGTCCTTCATTCTGTTTAACAATACCCTGTTGAAGACTTTGCCTGGTATTGAAAGAAGAGTGATGCCTCTGTAGTTCTCACACTTGCTGAGGTCGCCTTTCTTTGGTATTTTGATCAGGTATCCTTCCTTCCAGTCTGATGGTACTTGTTCCTCATCCCAAATCTTCTTGAAGAGGATGTGAAATATTTTCGCGGTTGCTTCTACATCTGCTTTCATTGCCTCTGCTGGAATGTTGTCTGGTCCTGCTGCTTTGCCGTTCTTGATTTGTCTGATGGCCATACTGATCTCCTCAATCGTAGGTGCGCCAATATTAATTGGGAGGTCCGTGGATGCTGCTTCGATGTTGTGTGTGTTCAGTGGAGCTGCTCGGTTCAGTAGTTCCTTAAAGTGCTCTACCCACCTATTTCGCTGTTGTTCAGTGTTGCTGATTACTTTGCCTTCCTTGCTTTTCACTGGTCGTTCTGGTTTACGATAGTTCCCGGCGAGCTTCTTTGTAGTTTCATACAATTGTCTCAAGTTTCCGTCTCTTGCAGCCTTTTCCGCCGTCGTTGCTTGATCTTCCACGTATTTTCGTTTGTCAGCTCTGATGCTCTTCTTCACTTCCCTGTTTGCTTCTGTGTATGCAGCTTGTGCGGTAACTTTCTCCGCTCTTGTTCGGCTGACATTGATTGCTGCTTTCTTGTTCCTCCTTTCTTCAATTTTTGCGAGAGTATCAACAGAGATCCATTCCTTATGATGCTGCTTCTTGCGACCAAGGACCTCCTGACATGTTGAAGTGATTGCCTCCTTAATCCCTTTCCAATTGTTCTCCAATGTTGTGTCCTCTCCATTGTGTAGATCCTGTAAGGCCTGGAACCTATTGGTGAGGGCTATCTTGAATTCGTTGAGCTTTACAGTATCCCGAAGAAAGGCCATATTAAACTTGTGTGATGTTGTCTGTCCCGTTGTCCAGTGCTTCTTTAGTTTCAGTTTCATTTTGGCGATTAGCAAATGGTGATCTGAGGCTACATCAGCTCCTCTCCTGGTTCTCACATCCTCCATAGTCCTTCTGAACGTTTTGTTGATACAGATATGATCAATCTGGTTTTGAGTAGTGTGATCCGGTGAAATCCATGTGGCTTTGTGAATGCGTTTGTGCGGGAATATTGTGCCACCGATGACCAGTTTGTTGAAGGCACATAGGTTTGCAAATCTCTCACCGTTTTCGTTCCTTTCTCCCAGTCCATGTCGTCCCATGATGTCTTCATATCCAGTGTTGTCCATTCCAACCTTGGCATTCAGGTCTCCCATAACAATCGTCAAATCCTTTGGTGAACATTTATCGACGATTGACTGCAGCCTTTCGTAGAATTGATCTTTGTCGTCGTCATTGTAGTCGTTGGTAGGTGCATAACATTGGATGACGTTCATTGTAATGTCCTCTTTCTTTGTTTTGAAGGATGCTTTAATGATCCTGGGTCCATGAGATTCCCATCCTATTAGTGCCTTTTGTGCATGTTTGGACAGCATCAGTGCAACTCCTTGTGTATGTGAAGCATTTTCCTCTTCATGACCAGAGTATAACAGCAGTTCCCCTGAAGCCAGTCTCAGTTGTCCTACCTGTGTCCAATGCGTTTCACTGATTCCAAGCACCTCGAGGTTGTATCTTCTCATTTCTGCCGCAACTTGAAATAGTCTTCCAGTCTCCCACAATGTACGAACGTTCCATGTACCTAAAAAAATGGTTGCTCTGGTTGTCAGAAGAGGCATCGGCCCCGTGACTTCCGAGGGAACTCGGCTTTCATCACGCGACGTCATAATTCTTCCTCCAACTCCCAGGGCAGAGTGAAAATGGTTTGAATTATTTTTTCAGGTTAGAGTTTTGGCAAGTTAGTTTTTGACGGAATGGGGTCGCCAACCCCATGTCCAACCCTCCTCCTTTACCCGGGCTTGGGACCGGCAGTAGCCCCGAAGGTTCTACTGGCGGAGTTAAGTTATGAACATAGCACTGCTATAAAATGATGAAAAATATTAAACCTTTATCGGTTTACAATCCAGGAAACTGGTATTAGAAACCCTACTGTTATCAAGACTCTCGACAAAATACGGGACTTTTATTCATTCTCAATCCATGAAATTGGATCGGCTAGTAGAACACTTCCGGTAACAGTTCAATCATCCCTCAGCAACGCCTCAACTACTCACCATCTTCAAACAACCTGAATGGCAAATTGATGTAAGTCCTCCAACTCTTAATGGGGTTGAAAAAGCTATAGGCAATCGAAAGCCAGGGAGAGCAGCAGGTCTTGGTGTGTTAAGCCCTGAGATTTTTAAGGATAATGGTCCAGTTTTAGCATTTCGGTTGGTTGGGACCTTGGCTAGAATC